GAGTCTGCGCTCGCAGGGCCCGGCGCAGCGTCCACCCACGAGACGCCGCCCACCTCTGGCACAGCCTTTAGTGTTCTCTTCCTCACCCTCCTGGCAGTGTGTGTACTCAGCCTGCGCCCCGCCTCTTGTCTCTCTGTCCCCACCTGAGGTAAGATACACTGGAACTAATCTCGCAAACGCACTGAGAGGAAAGACAAGGAGCCCCCCACCCCCCAATCCGGGACAAGCACTCCCGGAGAGAGGGCAGCTTCTGTTCCGAGTCCAAGGGGAGGGCTCCGTCCTGGGCCACCGAGCTTTATTACTCATATTTTTAAGATTCATTAATCACACATACAAGAACTGAGGTGCAGGCCAGAGGAGGGGGTGGAGGACACCCCAGAGACCGCATAGGGAGCAGAGCACAGCTTCAAGTCAGAAACTCGGGGGTATCACGGGAGCCCCAGAGTCTCTAAACTGGCCGCTGACGGTCACCTTCTCCACATCTGGCTGGACTCTCGCCTCGAGGCCACCGCTGTGGGGCAGCGTCTGAGACCCTGGTGGTCAGCCCTTATGCCCTCGCACGGCTGTCAGGACCCCTCCAGGCCCTCCCAGTGCTCGGCAGCTGGAGGCGCCGCCTGCCCAGAGGGAGTCTGAGGTTGTGAGAAGCGTCGTGACTGGCCCAGACGGGCTGTGGGGCAACACTGCCCACCCCAAGGCAGTGACCGCCCCCTCTCGGAGAGACGAGGCCTGACGCCGGCTCGCACAGGTCCGGCAGAGGCGGAGGTGAAAAGGCGCTTGGTGCCGAACAGACCCCGCAGACGGCCGCCCTCCACAACCACGTGAAGGGAGGGGCTCTGGGGCGCCGTGTGGGGGCGCGGCCGGGGTGACGGTGCAGCGCGGCCAGGCTGTGGCCAGCGGTGGGGGCCATCTGCCGGCTGGGGAAGAGGAATGGGAGACCCGAGGACAGCGGGGGCCGTGGGGGGCAAGGGGCGGAGCCCGCGCGAGGCTGCAGTCTGGGGGGTCTGGGGCCAAGCCGGCACCTGGCACATCCAGCCTGCAGGAACCTGGCAGGGCCCGGGGGTGCTCAGGGCACCCCGGCGTGACGCTTGCAGGCGACGAGGGGCCTATTTACGCGGGGAAAGAAAAGGAACAACCCGGGGAGAGCGCGACTTGCAGTGAGCTGGAGCGGCCTGCCAGCCGCTGACCCAGAACCCCAACAGTGCCAAGAGCTGGGGAGAGCGCGCGCCTGGGAGAGCCTGGCTGCTCTGTCCGAAGCCTCCACAGGCAGCCGAGCCCAGCCCAGCCCCCTTTACTGTTGCTGGCTGAGGTCTGAGTGTCGGGGACTCAGGGACCGAGTGGGGTGGAGCCCACAAACCCGGGGCCCCCCCAACGCCGCGCCTTCTGTTGCAGCCGCCGCCATCCAGCGCCCCGTCGACTACTGCTCCAGCGGCCTCCACGACTGCGACATCCCGCAGCGGGCACGCTGCGTCTACACCGGGGGCTCCACCTACACCTGCTCCTGCCTGCCCGGCTTCTCTGGCGACGGCCGGGCCTGCCACGGTGCGTGACCCGGGAATCGCCGGCGGCGGCGTGGCTCCCTCACCTGAGTGGAAAGTGTCCAGGCCCCTGCGGGGTGGATGGGCATCCTCGCGTCAGTGGACGCGGCGTCTCCTGTGGGGACAACTGTCGGCCCCCGCCCTGGCCCATGTGGGCGGCCGCTGGACCCCCGTTGTCTGCCAGAGCTGGCAGTCGCCCCTCGTTCCGAGACCAGCGAGTGCCTAGTGCTCGCGGGGTGGAGCAGGGCGCAGAGGACGCGGCCGGCGCGGGGGCCTGGCCCGTGGTCTGCTCCCCATTCGCGAGGCCGCCTGGGGAATAGAGACGGCAGCAACAAGCAGACACCCCGCAGGGCCTGCGGCGCCAGGGCAGCCGGGCGTGAGGGCAGCTGAGCGCATGACCGTGACCCAGGCCCTTGGGCCGCAGAACCACTTAGGATGGCGCGGCCGGGCGGGCCGAGCCGCGTTCCGGCCCTGGGACACTCGTTCTCGCCACCGCGGGCA